AGACATGGCGCCATTGAAATGACAAAACCAACCAGTGCGCCACTCATAGTCGTGCAGGTAGTATTCCCCCGACCATTGCAGGTCTTTTATAGCTATAATGATAAGGTAAATACCCATGATGCCGTCTGAGATACCCAGATTCACCAACATGATAGACTGGACCACATTGTTATCAGGGAAAAAATACTGCCACCCAACAACAAATATGGACCCAAACAGCGACAGAAGGCCCACAACCCAAAGACTTCTCCTTGGAGCAAGGTTACGGAACATGGACTGACAGCTTGCGAAGTTGTCATTAAAAGAATATTCGCAATCGGCATCCTGCCTGAAAAGATCGAGGTGGCAGCACATCAGGTTGGTGTCCAAAGTCCTGGATTTCGAAAAAAAAGAAAGAAATATTAACAAACTTACACGGATAGAAAACAATGGGCATTTAGTGATCTAGATACATTAATAGTTAATTATCTGCAAACAATTGATAATTATTGACTGATTGATAACATACACTCTTATTAAAACAATTTTTTAGAGGGGTGAGTGAAGTTATTATTTATTATGGACGGAGTCTTACACTCTGGTAATGCGCAGCAACTGCTGGGTGAAAAGTCCTTTAGGGAGCTCAGCCATCAGGTTGTAGTGCATAAACCTGCAATTTTGAAAAATAATCAGAAAAACACGAAGTTGAATTATATAGAAATTAAACCAAAAAAATTAATTTGGCTCGCTCCAAAATATGTATTTGGAAGAATGAGATTCATTTATTAGTGTTAAAGAAAAACAGAAAGCACAAAAAAAAAAAAAAACCGAAAAGAAAAAGAAAAAAACCCAAGAACCCTAAATATTCTATAAGAACGACCAGCTTTGTAATTAATTTTAGCAACAAAGTTTATTAGCTTGGATGAAAATCTCTCATTTGCCGTACACTTACAAAAATTTCAGTTCGTGGGCACGGGCGAAAGTCGTGCTGGAAACGTTTTGTATCTTATTGCCGAAGATATCTCTGAAACGAATAACATAATAACTCACAATTAGTAAGTAGACAGGGTCTCACGATGGTCTGTTTCCTCATAAATTTCCATGGAACTGCTGTGAAACTGTCTGGCTCTCAACTATGGGTGTTCGCGTTTTACTTATATCTAACCTTGCTTGCTAAAAGTATGTTCATAAAAGACTATACATTTAGTCAAACATAAATCACTACAGAAGTACTTTGTTAATCAGCTTATTTTTATTTACTTGATATTAAAATTTGTGAACTAAAATCTCAGTTTTTAAATGCTTCCGTTTTTTCTCTTTCCATTGCTTCGAGTATTCTAATTTTTTTTTCTATTTGTAATTAACTGTACTCACAGAGCTTTAAGGTTTTTGACGCCTTTAAAAATTTTGTCAGGCAAAGCCTCGATTTTGTTCTCCGAGAGATATCTTAAACAGGAGAAAGGAATAAAAGATAAATAATAAAATACAGTAACATAATATGATTGCAATTGGGTGTGGCACATTACATTTAATCGATGACACAGTTAACATAACAATAATCTTGTAATTTTGGTGTTATCAACTGAGTTCATAATGTAAAATGGCCTCCGTGAAGAATTTAAAAAAGCAGACGTTTTGAGCATTAGCCCATTGCCAGAGCTGCATATGGTTTGCGAATCCACTCGTCTTGGGAAAAGGTTTCAACTCGGAGTGTACTTACAATTCGATCAACTTTACCAAGCCTTGGAACTGATCTTCATGAAGCCTCTCAATTTTATTGTAGTCCAATTTCCTGAAGAAAGCACCATGGAAAGTTTAGACTAACATACGCATATGTAGCTGTGGAGTGATATCTTTAACACAGCTGTTTTTTTTTTCTTTTTTTAGGCCACTACCATAGTTCAGGTAAGGCGATGACAATGCTTTCTCCAATAAAATAGCTCTCAGTTTTCATTTCTTACTCTTCAAAGAAAAACATCAGACATGAGAATAATACTTTCAAGGTTAAGCTCGAAAGATCCCAAGTTTATTCCCAAGTGCCTTCATGAGGTTTATTGTTTAAAGCTGAATTTGACAAAATGATTTATGATCCATTTCTTGTTACAAATTACGAACTTATTGAGTAGTTTGATCCTCCAATACAATAATATTATATGTAATATTTTAAAGGAAACTAATGTTTGCCTTCTGGAAGTACATTATAATTAGAGTTGTCATAATCTTGGAAGCTGTTGTATTTACCACATTCTAAAATTTTCAATACAATCTTTAATGTCAATAGAAATCTTGCTCACAGAAATTCTACAGCTGTAATGTTTCTGAAGATGTGCGGCGGTAGATTTCCAAGTTCATTGTTTGACAAATCCCTACAAGAGATCACCACAGTTACAAGGAATTTGCTAATGATAGAAATACCATTTAAACTGATTCATAGCATAATAATTATTGGCAGTTTGTGCTGAAAAACTTTCAAAGTGTCTTATTACTTGTGTAGTGGCCTCCCCTTTTCAGTTTATTTCCCCCAAATCTTTAGCACATATTCTCAGGAAGAAGTCTTATGTCTTTAATCCAGCTCAAGAAGACCCTAGCACATTAAGCTTGCTAAGAACACAATAATGAAGAACAACTAGAACATGAGAACATCTGTCAACATCTTTTGAGAAAAAATGACAGGAAATATGTTTCCCTTATAAAAAATTAAACAAGAAGCCAATCAAGGAAATATCCATCTTCTTTTTTTCTTGAAGGGGGAGGAACTCCTCACAGCAGTGAAATAATAATAATAAAAAAAAAAAACAAAGAAACAAAAAACAAAAGAGACAGGTACAAAACAAAAATAGCAACGTCACCTGTAGAAGAAAGATAATATGCAAATGCAAGCTATTTCTTGTCACAACTATTATTAATTTCATCATCATTATCATCATTATCATTACTATTATTATTGTTATTACTTTTATTACTATTATATTACTATTATTACTATTGATATTATTACTAGCAATAGCAACATTACTGGTGCAACTGTAGGTTAATGGTTTATCATATGTTAAAAGCTTGTACTTTATCCAGCAGAAAGAAATCTACGAGTTGTTGAGGCTGCTATTAAACAGAAGCTTTTAAACTTTTAAACCTCCAAGTACCTTAGCATTACTTAACATTAAGCACATCAGCTGCATAAAATAGCTTTCTGTTATTAATCTACCTGATCAGATTTACAAAGTCAAGCTGGAAAACCCCATGCTGTTTGAGCTGTTACAGCTGTGCTTTTGTAAACAATATGATAAAAATGATCATTTGGTTCTACCCAATTGCCTTCTTTGTTAAATAAACATTTCACTCACAGATGTATCAGCTTGGAAAGGCTGCTAAAAAGTCCGTCTGGTAGACTCTTCAACTTGTTATTTGACAGATAGCTGGTAGGAATAATGAGACAAAAAGTGCCTTTTCATTAAGACTGCAGCTAGCTCATAATTCATAAACAAAAATACAAACAGAGGCTGGTCATCAAAAATTATAAAAAAGTTAATTGTAATCAAATCTCGGCAATATGCTAATTTTAGAGAAATGACTGTTTAATCGCTTGTCTCACAATTTTTAAGACGATTAGACGTCCGTTTATCTATAAAACCAGCATGAACAGCACCATTTTATTTATTGCTTATCATGGTTACTGTCAAGTATATACATATTGCCCATTCATTTTGGTAAGGTCAATATCTCCAGCAAAAGGAGAACTCGTAGCTGACAATTTAACATTTGCTAGCACGCCCAACGCTCTTGTCTTATGCTGGGAGAGGTAGGCTAGTTCTCCTTTCATTTAAATCCTTCCCAGGATAGAAATAATTAGAGAAATGATCGAGCTCTTGATCTCAGAAGATATCAAAACAGGTAAAAAAAGGTAAAAATATCCCATAGTGACTGGAAACTTTATGGCACGCAGGATTTCATCGTTGAATGACTACAGATCTTACACTAATCATTAGAAAAACAAAGATGAAAATTTGAGATGGTTAAATTAGTAGGTTATGTTTTTTGTGCTTATGGGAATATAATTAGTTATGAAATATAAAAAGTGGCTGATATTACTTTCAGTCTCTAATAAATGTTTGGAATAGTGACAAAGAGTTGAGCAGTCAGTAAGCTAGTCTCTGAGGAAAGGATACGCAAAAAAACTTACAGTTCCTGCAGGTTTTCTAGATCTTGAAATAGTTCTGGAGGTAATTCAGTGATGTTGTTGTCTTGCAACCATCTATGTTGAAGTAGAGAAACATGATTAGTTGTATCAAATCCAGCTATTTCTATCAAAGTAACTTCTAACTTACCTGTCTATTGTCATTGAAGGGGAAGAGAGATTAAAAGAAAATGAAAAACAAAAAAGCATGGGCAAAATCGAGGACAAACGAGTGGTTGGGAGATGGAATGCTCCTACTTTATAACACACTTTTTCTAATACTGAGCTGCGACATTTAATTCACAACTTAACAAATAACCACATTATGCAAAGCAATACTGTTGTGTCTTTTTCCACATTTTTCGTAAAGTTTAAACTATAAGATATTTTCTTTGTATTAAGAATGTTTGCATTAAAAATGTGATTATCTGCTTTTGTTGATCCGTTTTCATTGCACTTCACAGCACAAGTCGTAATGCAGATTTTGAAACACTTTGATCTAGCAAAGGGAAATGATAAACTGTTACAATGAAAAGTTCTGTTTTGAGGTCAAGGAATTTCTTTTTCAGTAGTATCTGATATCTACTCACAGTTCTTTCAACCCTTCCATGCGTTTGAAGGCGCTTCCATGAATTCCTTTCAGGTCGTTGTCATTCAGGCGTCTGCGTTATTTACCATAAAAAACCGATTATTAGTTCGTCTGCCTGGTTAGAGGGATTACTGTTGGTGTTATCAATCACTGATGTTTTGACAATGAAACAAAAGTGACATCATTGACATCGAGTGAGGAGTTGTTCGCANTTCCACAGCAATCTTTATGATGAAAGTCAGCCGTACCATTTACTATTGGAGGATGGGCAAAAGGCCCTCCTTTTACCCGGGTCAAAGAAAGAGCTCTTCACACTGAGCAGATATCAAGAGGAATTAGGGAAAGATTTTAAAAGAATCACTTTTTTCTTGTGTCCCGATCGTGACTTTCAAATATCTGAAGGTAACTTTGATGAGCATGATTTGACTGACTTTGGTGATGATGACAGTGATGCCCCTAGTTCATGTAATAAACGCCAGAAATGTGAAATTGACCTAACCTGTAACAGTGATCACAAAACAAGCACTCAATGCAGTCAGTTTTATCAAGACCAGCTGATGGAGATGACTCCGAAGCTTGAATGTGAGTATCAGCTCGACCAAGATCAGAAGCACGAATGTGATCAGTCTAAACATGTTCAGCAGCTTCAGCAGCTTCAGCAGCTTGAGGAAGATGAAAACTTAGCTTTTGATCTTCAAAGATGCTATGATGTGGAGGATATCATCACCCATGAGGAAGAAAACACGACAATCAGTGATTCATCTTCAGTGGTAACCCATTTGGGTAGGCAGGTAGATGAGTCAAGTAATTTTTTCATCGTAGTAAGAAGAGTTGCCCCATTAGACAGGACACTATCAATATGGAGCAGAGAAGTGAAAAAGAACACTGGTAGCACAAAGAAAATTGTAAGAGTCCACTTCAGTGGAGAAAAAGGAATTGATTCTGGAGCAATGGCAAAGGAGTTCTTTACCATCACTCTTCCTAACATTGGCACTGTCATCTTCCCAAATGGGCAGCCAGTGGATTCCACATACCATGTACATAATGGAAACTTCAAAGTCTGTGGAGAGATTGTGGCTGCTAGTATAGCCCAAGGTGGGCCAGCACCATGTTTCCTGGAGGAAAGTGTCTCTGGCTTGATGGCAGATCCAAATGTTCCTCTCCAGCAACTTGACAGTGGAAAGCATCTGACGACATCTGACAGGGAATTACTGGATGCAATCAAAGAGGAGATAATAGCACACACCGACACTATTATTGAGCATGGGTACACAGGGACTGTTGAGGCTTCTCACACTGAAGAGATCCTTAGTTCTGTAGCAATCAGTTTAGTGACCAAGAGGCTTGTTTACCTCAAGGAATTCCTGAATGGGTTAGATTCCTATGGTTTGAAAGACATTATCCAAACCCACCCCGAAGCTTGTAAGCCACTCTTTGTGAAAAATGCAGGTGACATTGGTGCAGTTGATGCAAACTACTTGTTTTCATCACTGCACCCAGAACATGCTAAGGAAGGAAGCTCACGAAGGAAAGTTGAAGAGGCGACAATGGACCTTCTTCAAGATTTCCTCTTTCACCTTGAAGATGATCCAAATATTAATTGTTCTGGGTATGCAGAGGCAATGGCAAGTTGTGAGGACACAGGCAAGGAAGCTGCAGGATCACAGGAAGAGTTGCTCCTTCCTGACCTAACACCAGCAGGTGTTTTGGGCTGGTTGACTGGGCAGAAACACAAGCCTATCAGTGGAGAACAAATATCAATAACTGTCAAATTTGATCATGATTGTCTTATCAGGAATCCAAAACACCAAATTTGTTTTCCAGTAGTTAGAGCATGTGCAAAAGAAGTCACTTTCCCCATAGCACACATGAAAACACAGGAAACTTTCAATGAAATCTTAATGTTAGCACTATCCAAGGGACAATCGTTTGGTATGGCTTAACGCTATTTAAGACTTTTAGGTAAAAATGGTTTTCCATTAGGGACCACTGCAAAGAGATTTACAGGACAAACAGATGTTGCTTTCACAATCGTTATGGCATTGTTATAGAGTTTAAAAAAAAAAACCNGGCCCGGGTTCAAGTCCTACCAGGGACATGTCGCTGTATCCTTAAGCAAGATGCTTTACCCACTTTGCTTCGTCTCTCGGATAAGACGTAAAGCCGGAGGTCCCGTCTCTTAAGGGTAATGGGTAAGAGACGTTAATTTCCCACGCACGAGATTACTGTGTGCTGGATGTCCTCCCCTGGGGTGGGTTGGGTGGGAAAACAGCAGGTCCACATCAGCTTAATAGTTGCCAATAAATTCAACCTGCTTAAACAAATAAATCAAATAAAAATAAAAAATAAAAATAAATATAGTGCCCCTTTTCTAGGTACAGTGATATAACATGTAGTGTTGAAGGATCTTTTTTAAAATATATGAACCTTTCTTTTACTTAGCAATTCACTCAAGCATGGAGAAACAAGGAAGAAGTTCTGAAGATAGCGATTTTACTAGTACCAAAGTAAAGTCATTTGCAAGCTTCAGGAAAAGTAAGGGGAAAGAGTGGAAATCCCGAGTGACAAAGTTTAGTAAAGAAGAGAAAAAATATGAAGATGTTGTGGTTCACTTGGGTCTTATGGAGTGGAATGAGAAAGATCAAATTCTCAAATCAAAGAGAGGTAAAAGATTGCCATTACGAGTGTCACCTAATGCAAGTTATGCTACTCTACGACAACAAGCAGAAGAAAAATGGAAAACATTCCACAGCAATCTTTATGATGAAAGTCAGCCGTACCATTTACTATTGGAGGATGGGCAAAAGGCCCTCCTTTTACCCGGGTCAAAGAAAGAGCTCTTCACACTGAGCAGATATCAAGAGGAATTAGGGAAAGATTTTAAAAGAATCACTTTTTTCTTGTGTCCCGATCGTGACTTTCAAATATCTGAAGGTAACTTTGATGAGCATGATTTGACTGACTTTGGTGATGATGACAGTGATGCCCCTAGTTCATGTAATAAACGCCAGAAATGTGAAATTGACCTAACCTGTAACAGTGATCACAAAACAAGCACTCAATGCAGTCAGTTTTATCAAGACCAGCTGATGGAGATGACTCCGAAGCTTGAATGTGAGTATCAGCTCGACCAAGATCAGAAGCACGAATGTGATCAGTCTAAACATGTTCAGCAGCTTCAGCAGCTTGAGGAAGATGAAAACTTAGCTTTTGATCTTCAAAGATGCTATGATGTGGAGGATATCATCACCCATGAGGAAGAAAACACGACAATCAGTGATTCATCTTCAGTGGTAACCCATTTGGGTAGGCAGGTAGATGAGTCAAGTAATTTTTTCATCGTAGTAAGAAGAGGTGCCCCATTAGACAGGACACTATCAATATGGAGCAGAGAAGTGAAAAAGAACACTGGTAGCACAAAGAAAATTGTAAGAGTCCACTTCAGTGGAGAAAAAGGAATTGATTCTGGAGCAATGGCAAAGGAGTTCTTTACCATCACTCTTCCTAACATTGGCACTGTCATCTTCCCAAATGGGCAGCCAGTGGATTCCACATACCATGTACATAATGGAAACTTCAAAGTCTGTGGAGAGATTGTGGCTGCTAGTATAGCCCAAGGTGGGCCAGCACCATGTTTCCTGGAGGAAAGTGTCTATGGCTTGATGGCAGATCCAAATGTTCCTCTCCAGCAACTTGACAGTGGAAAGCATCTGACGACATCTGACAGGGAATTACTGGATGCAATCAAAGAGGACATAATGGCACACACCGACACTATTATTGAGCATGGGTACACAGGGACTGTTGAGGCTTCTCACACTGAAGAGATCCTTAGTTCTGTAGCAATCAGTTTAGTGACCAAGAGGCTTGTTTACCTCAAGGAATTCCTGAATGGGTTAGATTCCTATGGTTTGAAAGACATTATCCAAACCCACCCCGAAGCTTGTAAGCCACTCTTTGTGAAAAATGCAGGTGACATTGGTGCAGTTGATGCAAACTACTTGTTTTCATCACTGCACCCAGAACATGCTAAGGAAGGAAGCTCACGAAGGAAAGTTGAAGAGGCGACAATGGACCTTCTTCAAGATTTCCTCTTTCACCTTGAAGATGATCCAAATATTAATTGTTCTGGGTATGCAGAGGCAATGGCAAGTTGTGAGGACACAGGCAAGGAAGCTGCAGGATCACAGGAAGAGTTGCTCCTTCCTGACCTAACACCAGCAGGTGTTTTGGGCTGGTTGACTGGGCAGAAACACAAGCCTATCAGTGGAGAACAAATATCAATAACTGTCAAATTTGATCATGATTGTCTTATCAGGAATCCAAAACACCAAATTTGTTTTCCAGTAGTTAGAGCATGTGCAAAAGAAGTCACTTTCCCCATAGCACACATGAAAACACAGGAAACTTTCAATGAAATCTTAATGTTAGCACTATCCAAGGGACAATCGTTTGGTATGGCTTAACGCTATTTAAGACTTTTAGGTAAAAATGGTTTTCCATTAGGGACCACTGCAAAGAGATTTACAGGACAAACAGATGTTGCTTTCACAATCGTTATGGCATTGTTATAGAGTTTAAAAAAAAAAACCACAAGTTAATGTTAAAGTTATTTCTGAGGCATACAAATGCAGCTATCATATCAACTTTGAAAATTGATAAGGTTTTTGAGATTCCTAATCATACATGTTCATATGACCTTATGTCTGTTACAACAATGTTCTTCAGTGCATTTCTTTCATTAACAAGAGTAGCCTCATCTTCTGGTTAATGATAACACAAATACAGTTTTCATAAAGTCTTGGAGATCAATTTGATCAATAAAATACTTAAGTTAATGTTATATTTTGACGATGAAGACTTCTTGAGTCGCTTTTCTTTGATAATATATATATTTTTTTAACCAAGCAGTAACCTTTACTGATTGACTCAATGGCTGATATACTGTACAGTAATGTTAACACCAAGTGACAGTTGGTGTGGTTTTGGGACAAAAAAACAAGACATAACTTGCTTAAAATGAGAAATGTCTAACAATATCTTAAGCAATCTTAGACTGAATTTTGGCAATTATGCACCATTTACAGCTACGGTTAAAAGTTTGCGATAAAGTCTCTCTGCCTCTTGCCAGTCGTTTGGAAGGCTGATTCCAAGGGCAATTCTAGCATAATCAAAGTAATCTTGATATTCATTACCACTTCTCCTCTGAATTATGTGCTGAGATACATAGTCAATTTCAAACTGAGGAACGTTGAGCAGAAGGTTTCCAACAGCCCCATGAAACTCAGGCAAATAGAATAGTGAATCAGGTCTACCAGGGACTGTGTTGTGCCTACTTTTCCTAATTCTGTGGCTGTTCCAGTGTTCTTTAACAATGTCTAGGTCTTTCTGGATAACTGGCGCAAAACAGTTCCACAAACATTCCATACTTAATTCAGAAGAAGAGTCTAAGACACCCTTAAATTCTAAATCTTGAAAAAAATTGCGCCACCATGTTGACCTGCTCCGTGAATAAAATGACCACCACCCTTCAATTCTTTGGTTTCTAGGTGACGAGACATAACGGTGGGCATCAGCATCATCATGAAAATAAGACTGCATTGATGCTGCCAATCCGTTTTCAGTGCCAAGATCTGTAATTAGCTGTCTAGGGCACCCCTTCAATTCTTTTACAGTACTTAAGAAGTAAGTGGCAATGTTGTCTGGTGAGTTGTTGGACCTGGTAACCTCAAGCCATAATATTTTCCATCTGAAGCCATCTATGGCTCCATGTATGGAAAACCCAAAGGGCTTCAGTTTGTCATAACCATCCATGTGCCAAGTATCATTTGGCCCAAGACAATGATAAGTCCTCCTCTTCAACCGGTGAGCTTTCCTCAACTGACAACCTTCTGGATCTACCTCTTTTAATATATCTTGAACTATTATACGAGGAACATGCAAACCTTCCATCTTTAAGGTGTGCCATACCGTCCTGTATCCGCCACATGATCCAGGTCCATGGATAATCTCAAGGATACGTTTTCTAACTGCCTCTAAAACCTCACCAGAATCATTCGCCTTGAAAAAACTCCTTCTCTTGAGTCCATATGTCTTCAATCGCCTTAAAAGTGTGCTCTTACTTATTTCATGGTCATGACGCTTAGCAAGGAAATGAATGATTTCTTCATAACTAAAACCGCGTTGAAAATAATATTTGATAATGGTCTCCTCGTCAATCTCCACCTCAACTTCATTGCTAGAGTCTTCTTCTTCACTTGAATCTTCTAGCCTTAGGTCTAAAACGTCAATGTAAAAAAAATATAGGGATGAACACAGACCACTTTTTCTACCTCTTAACATGTACAATACAACACAATACAATACAAAGAGAAACAAAGAGAAAAAATATAATTGACAGACACTTTGCAGGCGTACAGTATTTTCCACCTGTTGAAAAATCCTTAATTCACCAAGGCACATACATAATAAATGTTTCTTTTTACACACAGGCTACATGCACAATCTCATTCCAGACACGTGCTACTCAGCTAATTTGTAGCAGTGTCTTCGCGCCCATCGTTGTTTGGAACTAAAAGAAATGCAAATACGAAAACTTTAAATTAAGAAACGTACCTTTACCACAGCTTTTACAAAAGTTTGCATCTTCATCTACTACCGAACCACACGCGGAGCAAAACATGATGAACTCGAAAAATGGCGGTTTCCGAGCGAGTATTGTGTTATTGTTACACGACAATCCATTTCAAATGCAAATAGCAACCGCTGACCAACCGCTGACCAACTCGTTTTCTTTATTTTGCCGTGAGTTAATTTTGTTTTGCCGTGAGTTAATTTTGTTTTGCCGTGAGTTAATTTTGTTTTGCCGTGAGTTAATTTTGTTTTGCCGTGAGTTAATTTAGTTTTGCCGTGAGTAAAGTTTGTAGTGCCGTGACTTTTTGTTTTGCCGTGACAGTTGTGGGCCACCGTAGCTTCAAAGTGGTCGCCACATAGCCTCGAGTGCTTGTTCGCCGAATTTTTGCAAGCCATTTCGAAAGCAGTTCTTTGTTCTCCTGCGGTAAGCGATACCAGGACTTTTTGATTTTCATGTCTGAAGGGTTTGTACAGCCGTAGGCAATACACCATTGAGGTATTTTGAACAAAAAGTAAAAAAAACAGACATGGGGAATTGATTCTTTCTCTAAACACCAATTCAAAACACGCGAAGTGATCACCACCAAGCCTCGGTTTGACGCCTCGAGAAATTGTTTTGACGTCATCGCGCATAAGTGCTATTCAGGGGTCTAAAGTAATCTGTATTCAGACAAAGCTGTCGATCAGTAGTCAAGCAACGTCTCACATAACTTGCATTACGACATTAATCTAGTTCTGCTGTTCTATTTCTTATTGCTTTATTTTTCAACCTTTTTGAAACTAGCGCGTTTTATAATGGACCTAACGGTTAGTTGTCAAGTTCTCTGGATGTATGGGCGATAATTAAACTTCTACACAAATATGTTTCGTAAACTCTATCAAAAATGCAATCAGTGTACTTAATCACAAGATTAATGTAGAAATGGAGTCTTAAACTAGGATTATAAACTGAACAACCCTCCCCTGGTCACATGGTATTCGGCAGCCGGTCAAGGTTCCCAAACGACTGAATAACCGGCAGTCGTATATTTTTCTTAAAATTTACTGACAAACTGAGAACACGAACACAATTCAAACAATTATTTGTCGATGTCCAACGCTTCGTCATGTCTAACTCAGGGCTCAGAGTACAGAGCCATGGGAATATTTTAGACGGTTGACACTTAGAAATTGTGTGAGGTCGACTGCCAGTCACGGTTCTCGTACAACTAAAATGATCGGCGGTAATTAAGAAATGCTTTGAAAAACTTAGGAAATTGAGACAACCTATTCAATCTAAACCATTTGATTTGCACTTAGTATATAATAGTTTTGGCGCCAGAGCGTTTTCTCAGGGAGTCTGGGGACCAACCCCCACTTTTATTTAAAGACGCGACGAATCCAATCTTAAACATAAAGGTCAACCTGAGATCACGTAAAGACCTATAAGATGTATGGAATGCCCTACGAATTGTAAGTAACATTTCGTTGAACTCTCAAATGTTATTCTATATTTAAAAAAATCTGTATTTGTTTTTGACTTACTTCCTCTGGCAACTAGCGCAAAAATAAACGGGTCACCATACATCTGTAACCTTCAAAGCTACAGTAACGCTTTACATCGAAAGCGCGAAACACCATTATATGTCGATAAGGAACTGCTAAGCGATCTCGAGAAGATTTACAAGTCTCATATTTTTCAGTTTGCATTACATAGGGAAGGATATGCTCGTTATGATCAGGAATCGGTCAACTGATGTGACCAATGTAGAGGTGGTTTGCAACCAATCTCTAGAGACACAGGTAACAATGGTGAAAAGAACAAATGCTGGTGGACGTACAAAAGAAGCTAATGAGATATCCATTGTTTACGTCCACCAACACGGCGGCCATGACGGAACGTGCAAACCACCTGTATGATCAACTTGAAAATGCTGGCAAAAGGGAATAAATTACGTAACTCGTTTAGTTTAATTAAGCTGGGCTAAGTGTCAACATCGATTAGTTCATTCCAACCTCAACTGCATTACGTAGGGAAGGACATGCTCTTCAGGAATCTGTCAAATGTAGTGAACAATGTATATGATCAACTTGAACAACGTGTGAATTTACAGTAGCTTCGCTACACGGCTGTTGCAAATTTAATTCAAATTTGTATCACATTCGCACACCTTGACAAACCCTGGTAAATCCATTATTTCGTCCGGCGTCAGCCGCTCACCTTTACCTTGCTGTTGGAGTAGTCATGGTTTTTCCTCAACCGGACCTGTTTCGGGTTTTTAAACTCTTCGGGACGAATAATCAAGCATTTGTACTCTTGCTCTGTTAATTTCAGCAGTGGGCACGAAGGAGATCATGCGTAGCAAACTCGAGAAATTTGTTTACGGCATCCGATTCGTACTTTTTGATTCTTTTACCATCGCTCTCTTTTTAAAGTCTAAGTTTTCCAGACTTTTAGCCGTAAGATCACGCTTTGTTGGTTATTTTTCTTAACACTTTCTTTCTAACTACCGATTGAAATGCTGTTTTTCTCCCTTGACATGTTTGCCATCTTGTTTTGTTGTGCTATCACGACTTTCTCGTCGATTAATTTACTTTCAACTTTCTGCAATCTAATTTAAACTTTATTCTACCCATTGCAATTCCAACATTTAACACTCAATTTCAATTTTCTATGCCTTAAGGAACTGAAATGTTCGCAGCCATTGGGTACCCTTAATTTTTTGCATCCATGTATGTTGTTAACTTCGGGTAGGAAACAATCTGCATCGATACTATGCTGACAACCTTTACCGCTGTGAGGTTCCAGTCAAAGACGGAGACTTAGGAAGTACACTACCAATAGATTGAACTCTCACCAACTGAGTGACACGTCACAATAGGGGTTTTCCCTGTAATTTCCTTACACATGTAACAGCTATTTCACCCTCCGCAAATAAAATCAAACCATAGTTAGTAGAGGGGACTGGTTAGGAAACACGGCAAACTTCAAAGGGCCGGCCTATTGTGTGTCCCCTGAGCTTCGCTCGAACGTCACGTGACCAATGACCCTGCACAGAACCAAAACAATATGAAGGACGTGAACGACTTATTTTTCTTCGGCGACGATTTTGATGCCATATTGGAAACTTCGGAAAACGAGGAAGAATACATGAGCCCTTTGTCGAAGCAGCTGACTCTGTAAGTCTTTTAGAAGCCTTTAAAACGTTATTTTCGCCCAAAAACTTTGTAGTTATTGATGCCTTTAGCAACGGCATCGGTCGTAGTACAACAACATATTTTTTTACTGAAAGTCTTTCGATTTTTAGGTTCAATACGAAGAGGGAATTGTTTGCTAGTTGTGCCAAAAGAAATGCAAGACTAAGGCTGGATTAAAAAGACATAAGACAATAAAGCATAAGGAGGAACAAGCGCGGGGAAATCAACCGACTCAAGAAGCCAAATTCACTGCTGAAGACTTCGAAGCGTTATCAATCTTTCGTGCAGATAAAA